GATGATCTTGTCTTTAACAGAGAGAGAGAGAGAGAGAGAGAGAGAGAGAGAGAGAGAGAGAGAGAGAGAGAGAGAGAGAGAGAGAGAGAGAGAGAGAGAGAGAGCTTGTCTTTAACATTACTACCGTCTTCACCGGAATAGAACGCCCGGTCATTATCGCTGCATCTGGACTGAAACTTGTGCTAAATACAGCTATAATGACCAGGCGTTCTATTCGGGTGAAGACGGTAGGATATCGGGGAAGGTCTGAGGCGTCCTGTGCAGAGCAGATTGAATTTGTGATGCTTGATCAGAGAGAGAGAGAGAGAGAGAGAGAGAGAGAGAGAGAGAGAGAGAGAGAGAGAGAGATTTGTGTAACATAATAGCATGTGAGGGGAGGAGAGATGTGAAGTCCGGCATGCTTTGAGGACTGTTGCATTGTATGTACGATTGATTTTGACATAACATGATTTCATCTGTAGGGACTCGGGAGAGAATATAGGAAAGGCCGATAGGTCTCATCTTGTACAATACCGGAGGTGAGCAGTATTGGTTAGTCGGAGTTAGTCTGTTTGTTGTTGGAGTTTGCCGAGCAGTATAGCACTTTATTGTTTTGAGGACTGTAGAAAAAGGACCGCAAAAGGGCCTGACGCCGCTGACGGTGAAGGTATGAATAGAAGAGGAGGAAATGTTTCTGCGAATATGTGTTTGCTCCTGAGCTAGAAGCAATAGGGGAGAGACTCCATGTTTGGTGGGCACAGGATTAGGTAATTTAACTCCGAGTGGCTGCATTCGAAGTCATGGGCGTGTACTCACAAGGAACATGTGTTTGCATGTAAGAGGGAGAGGGAGAGGGATGCGAAGAGTCTGTCTATGGTCCCTGGCTTGTCTACTGCCTTGCTCCACCCCTGGCTGCAATCAGAGCTATGGGCACACTCACCAGGACTGTGTGTCTGCATGTAAGAGAGAGAGAGAGAGAGAGAGAGAGAGAGAGAGAGAGAGAGAGAGAGAGAGAGAGAGAGAGAGAGAGAGGCAGAGGGAGAGGCAGGCAAAGAGCGTCTATTGTCACTGGCTTGTTGTATGGGCGTTCTTACCAGGAATGTGTGTTTGTGGGTCGGAGAGAGAGAGGGGGAGAGGGAGAGGGAGAGAGAGCCAAAGGGAGCCTATGGCTTGAGAGGGTGGCGGATTCGTAGATTGCTGGATGTGCATGTCTGAGTTCTTCGCATGGACTAATGCCTCTAATACACACACACACACACACACACACACACACACACACACACACACACACACACACACACACACA